TGGCAACAGCCCGAGTTTGTTCTTCGGCTGGGAGTGATAGCTAGGGTGTCTAGCAGCAATGAGCCCACCTGCCTTGGGAGCCAAGCAAGGAGGTCTTGAGGCCGACGTAAGAAGTCACCAGGAGGGTTTCCAGCCACTTTCTTCTATTTCCCACCACCTAGTCCCTGCCTCCAGCCACCCCAGAGTCCTCCTCCGGAGCCTGCAGGCTGGGTGACATGCTCTGCTTCTGCCAATAAAGCGCTGCTGAGGGCAGGGGCTGGTCTCTGCCTTGGGCTGGGGAGGGCGTGACCCCAGTCCCATGCTTTGCTGATAAGACACAGCTGGCACTAACCTCTAAGCCTCTTCTGGGGGCTGAGTGACGAGAGTCAGAAGAAACACTCCGGAGTGGAAAAGGGCAGAAAGGGGGAAGGGTGGCAGCACACGGGCCTCGCTATTAAGGGGAATACCTCAACCCAGCCAGCGACCTGAGCAGAGAAACAGCCGACAGAACATCAGTCAGTATACAAGCTTTTATGTATAAAAAACACAATAAAAGATACCACCCAGCTAGCTGAGGACTGGGCCCCGCCTTCAGCCTTCATTTGCTCCCCAAACAGTTGTATCACAAACAAGCCTCGAGCAGCAGGACAAGGCCACCCTGGAGAGAAGAGGCTGAGATTCCGGGGCTGGGGATTTAAGGTCCCTCACTTTCCTTCTTTCTTGAGCTTCCTTTCTTGAGGTTGTAGAGGAGGCACCTGCAGCCCATTGCCACTGAGACTGTGAGACAAGCCAGAGGAGCTGTGCCGAGGAAAGAGCTTACTAATTTGGTTTCCCCAAATTAGTCTCAAACCAAAAAAAAAAAATGTCCGTGGCGATGCCCACTTGCAGTAGCTGACATATGAATATGGGGCCTCAGGGTCTCGGGCTTTCCTGCCACACGGCGGGGAGAAGACCCTGCAGACTAGGCAGAGGGGCTGGCCTGATATTTTCTCGGCTCTTCTGGTTCTCAGCTGGTCTCTAGTAAGGAAGGTGAGGAGGAGGAAGAGCACCCGCCTTAGCTATCGCTTGTGTCCTCTTGCACGGAGGGGCAGGGCTAGGAGACCATGGTTCCCGAGGGGCTCCCGAGGTCCTGGGGAAGGCTCTCTCGGGCCTCCTGCATGCGGCGCCGGGCGCGGCGGAAAGCCTCTGTGAGGGAAGCAAACACAGTAGTCAGCTGCCATGGTATGGGGAGCAACAGGGCCCATGCTGGCCCTGGGTGGCCAGCTGGGAGGACGGGGGGAACCTACCCAGCACATTGTGAATGGAACTCTGCTGGCTAAATCCTCCCAGACGGTCCAACACGCTCCGCATCCTTCTCCGGAGAGCACTGGACTCCATGAAGGCCCTGCAGGGGAGCGTGCCACATTGCCCAGGCTGCTCGCCAGCCCCCGGGATAAAGAGCCCCAGGGCCGGGTCACTCACCTGGACTGCTGCAGACAGTGCAAGCGGAAGGTGACACTACCCGTGGTCTCTGTGCGGAGCCCAAAGCGGCTCAGACGCTCCCCCTGTGGCACAGTTAGACACATCAGGTCTCCAGTCTCTAGACCCCATGCCGGCCTCACTCCTACTCCCATTCCAGCACCGGACTCCATCACCTCAGGCTAACACTGGGCTCCCAGCCGTTAAAGCAGGGGCTAACCTCACTGAGAATGAGTCTCACAAGCTTCCTGCTGACCCTGCCCATCCCTGGTTACCGAGGCCTCGGCGATGGGCTGGGAGAAGGGGCTGGTTAGTGTGATGGGGCCGGGAATCTGGAGCGTACTACTTCCCAGAGTCCTCCTACGAGAGCAGTGTGATAGTTGTACCTGGCTCAGATTGTGGCTATGACTTCCAGCTGAAGCAGCAGGAAGGAAGGGGCTCAGGAATAAGGAAGCCACGAACAATTAAGGGCCCTAACCCGGACCCCACCTGCTACAGATGAAACAGGAACCTAAGTTCTCAGCATGAAGTCTCCCCAGAGACAGAAATCACCTTGAAGGTTCCTGGAACCCGCACATAGGAAAGGTCCTCCAGTTCCAGAGACCCACCGATGAAAAACCTCTGCAGCTCGGCCACCGTGCCCAGCTCCATGGGTCTCCACGTGGGCACGGTCAGGGTGTGCGAGCCTGTGCAGGAGGAAAATGAGGCCAGGCCCAGAAAGGGCGCGTGGTCCCTTGCTGACTCCCCAGCGATGGCACTGGCCTAGTCACCACCACCACACCTGTTCTGGTGACAGTCTGACCTCTGGTGCAGATGGTCAGGGTGGCAGTTTAGGGCACCGATTGGGAATCAATCAGGCAGAAATTCAAATTCAGCCCTGCCCATTAATACCTGTGTACCCAGGTTAAGTTCCTTAACCTCTGAGCCTCATCCCCATCTAGTCAAATGGAAATAACACCTACACCTCACAGAGCAGTTGGGAGAACTAAAGAGAAGCACAGCGCACAATGTCTGGCACACAATGAGGGACAGCGGCTATTATGGTAAAATGAGGGCTGATCCACTCTGCCCTGCAGCTTCTCCCTCGGGGCTGCAATCCAATCAGAGGACCACGGAGCAGAGTCCAGACACACTCCGGCCGCTCCACTTCACTGCGAGGTGTACTTTACACTCAGTTGTCTCAAATGAAGGGGGAGCATTCCTCAACGGGAGCCAGGAATCCTGCACGTTAACTGCTTCTAATTCCTAACTAACCCCCTTCTCCCTGGAAGCGGGTGGATCTTTGGAGGTGTCAGCCTTGTTCCTAGGAGCCAGGGCATGGGACAAGAGGTCACCTGGGGTGGCGGGCAGCACCACAGCCCCGTAGCCTTCCACACGGTACCTCTGCCAGAAGTCCAGCGAGAGGACCTCGCAGTAGAGCACAGGCCACTTCGGGAGAGCCTCTGTGAGCGAGTGAGAGAAGCGGCAGGTCATGGGAGGCCTCACCCGGAGAGGGCACCGCCCCAGAGACCTGAGCCCGGGATCAGCTGCTGAGATACTCACCAGCTGATTCGTCCTCATGGAGAAAGGAGGCCTCAAATGAGAATGGATAGGAGAAGTAGGCCACCTTGTCCTAAAAAAGAGGAGCATCATTTTATACTCGGTGTCATGGGGTAGGCAAGGCCTCAGTTGAAATTTATTCTCCCTGTGGCCAACGACAAGGCCACCTTCACAAGGGAAAAGGGAAAATGATCACCCCAGGTAGGAAGTAAAAGGCTGAGGCAAAGGGACACCCAATTACAAGCTGCTCCCATGCTCCCCGAAGCAGCGAGAGGACCCAGGGACCGAGCAGCCCTCAGAGCCCCCACAGAAGGGCTAGACCCAACTCGGGACCTCCCGGAGGGCGTGGCAGGGGCCTGATAAATCTTCAGAGGCCACCCCAGGATCAGAGTCCTGTTCCCTTCCAGGCACCCCGCCCCCTCTCCATACCATCCCCAGGGACTTGGTGGCGCAGGTCTGTGTTATTCCTGAGAGCTGTTGGGCCGCGGGGCTTGACCAGTCTGAAAGCCAAAGACAACAGACAGTACGTTTACCCGGGAGGAGGGCAAGGCATTGAGAAAGAGACAAGTTCCTTCATCCGCTCATTCAATCGATCATTCACTGAACATTTCCTGAGTGTCCACTGTTTGCTTTGAACAGTCACTGGGGACAACTCGGTGATGACAGAGAAAATCCCTGTGTCTCACGGACCTAACCTTCTAGGGCAGTGGTTCTCAACCTTCCTAATGCCGCGACCCTTTAATACAGTTCCTCATGTTGTGGTGACCCCCAACCATAAAATTATTTTCGTTGCTACTTCCTAACTGTAATTTTGCTACTGTTATGAATCCTAATGTAAATACCTGATACGCAGGATGTATTTTCATTGTTACAAATTGAACATAATTAAAGCATAGTGATGAATCACAAAAACAATATGTAATTATATATGTGTTTTCCGATGGTCTCAGGCGACCCCCGTGAAAGGGTTGTTCGACCCCCAAAGGGGTCTCGACCCACAGGTTGAGAACCGCTGTTCTAGGGGGAGGGAGACTGACCACCACCAAGAGACTCAGGTGGTGACCAATGCTGCGCTAAACTAAAACCGAGGGGCCTGGAGGCCGTGCAGGCTGAGTGGTGAGGGAAGACCTCTCAGAGGCCTGAACTCAGGAAGAACCAGTCGTGCAAAGATGTGACGGAAAGGGGTTCAGACACAGAACATGGTCCCAAAAAGGCGCAGCCTTGGATGCTTGAAGGGTTCAAGATCAACAGAAGATGAGGAATCAGCCAAGGAGGCTGACGACCGACCAACGAGAGAACAGGGGAGCATGGCGCCGGAGGCAGGAGCAGAGTCTCAGTGAGGGAAAGTGAGCCGTGTCAAATGCTGCCGAGAGGTCAAGTGAGGTGGAAGCAGAGAGGACACCCGGATTTGACAGCTTGGAAATGACCTAAGGCCTTGAAAAGAACAGGAACAGTTTTGGTGCAGGAGCAGGGAAGGAGGCCTGACCCAATGCCTATGGAAGCTTTCAGAATGGATTTCAAAAAAGATTCATGAATATTACTTACTAGTAGTTGGTAATTCCACAAAGAAGTGGACATAGAGGTTGTCATACTCATAGCCTTGGGCTGAAACTAAGAAAAACAGGAAACGATTTCAGCTTATTCTCCTAGCACCCTGAGCACCCACCCAGTCCTGAGCGTTTGTATACTTCTGGAAGAAAGTCCCTCGAGGGCCAGGAACTGCCTTGTGTGTCCAGGAAAGACTCCTGGCTGAGTTTTCCAAGTACTGCAGACCACCCACGGCCCCCATGGGGCCGGGCGGATTACTTCACAGCTCCGTGGGGCCCCTGACCAAGTATAGGAGGTCTCTGCCTGGCAAGACACTTACCTACCTCTCCATTTACAAAGAGCCGGAGGGCGCCTGGGACCGTCTGAGGCAGAGAGAAATGGGAAAGGTCA